AAAGTGGGAAACCATAAATGCCTAATATAGGGAACAAATGAAAACCATGAAACAGGTTCAAATAGATGTCTATGAGATTAAAAATTCACAGGGGCACGAGACAATGTGAGGAGAGAATATCAATCAGATCTAGAGTACAGAATTTTGGTTTGTGACCATGAAAAGAAATTCTGTTAAAAATAGAAAGGGACCATGAAAAAATCAATCCACCAGCTGCTAGGTGCATAAAAGAAGAATAATATAAAAAACACTTTGACACACAAACAAGGCATATACAATTCTAATTAGCCATGATTAAAAAAAAATCTAGCTCAAGCTGGACATGGTGACACATACCTATAGTCCCAGTGATCAGGAGGCTGAGGCAGGGGAATCCCCATGAGTGCAAGGCTAGCCTGGGCTGCATAGTGAGTTCAAAATGAATCAACACTATGAAGCAAGACCCTGTACCAAAAAAAAAAAAAAAAAATCCCAAGTAAACAAAATGTACCATAAGGGATATAAAATTCAAGATTGAGGAAATTCAGCACAATACACCATACTACAAGCTGTTAAGAGAAAAACAAATCAACGATAAAGGAAGACCATCAGAATCACAGAAGACTTTTCAATACAAACCCTTAGGTGAAGGAGAGCTGGGAATGAAGTATTTCAGGTCCCAAAAGACAACAACCTTCAACCCAGATTGCTATGTCCTGCAAAGCTATATTTCAAAGTTGATGAAGAAATAAGATACTTCCATGACAAAGAACTGAAAAAAATTCATGATCACTAAACCAGCTCTACAAAATATTCTGAAAACTATTTTATAAAGAGACAAGAGTACAATTCCAAGAACACCAATGATATGAAACCACCAGGAAAGGCAATCAATTAAACAGAAGGGAATGATAGAGAACCAACAACAGGAAAATACAACAAGGATAAATCAGTACATATCATTTATAACTATCAATGTAAATGGCCTCAATTTACCATTCAAAAGAAACAGAGTGACAGAATGGATCAACAAAAAGATCCAACATTATGGTGCATAAGAAACACATTTAAACTGAAAAAGCAATCAAGAGACAAATTTAAAGGATGAAAAGCAATACTTCATGCAACAAGACCTATTTTATTTGTAGACACAGTGAACTGCAAGCCAAGACTGATCATAAGAGATAAAGAAGGTCACTATGTACTTGGTAAGAAAAAAAACTGCAAGAAGAAAAGATCATAAATACGTACGTACCAAATGCCAGTGCACCCAAATATATTAAAACATATTAACAGACATGCATAATCATATTGTAATAGGGGATCTCACTACCCCACAGACAAAAATAGGCACATTAACTAGACAAGCAATCAACAAAGAAGTATCAGAACTGAGCCAAACCTGTTGAACAAATGGATTCAGTAGATATGTACAAAGTGCTCCACCCTACAACATCAGCATACAAGTTCTTCTCAGCTATTCATGAGAAGTTATCTAAAACAGAATGCATATTAACCCACAGAACATACTTAAATAAATATATGCAATGGACTGAAATTATTCCATGCACAGTATCAGACCATAAGGTCCAAATCCCCATACCTATTCATGATAAAAATCCTATAGAAAATTAGAATACATCACTTTTATTTCAATCAGATAAAAGCCAGAAAAAGCTGGCTTTTCCACATGCCAAAGACTAAAACTACATCCATATCTCTCACCATGCACTAAATTAAAATCACATGCATCAAGGATTTAAATATTAAAGTTTTTGCACAGCAAAAGATATCACCACCAGAGTGAACAGACAACCCACAGAGGTGGAAAAAAATATCATCTGTTCCTCAGACAAAGAACTAATATGTAGAATATATAAGAACTCAAATAAAATCAGACCCTTCAAATTTAAGGCCCCAACCTAAAAATGGGCATCTGACATGAATACACAATTCTCAGATCAGCAAATACTAATGCAAATAAATACATATAAAAAATGTTCAAGATCACTGGTCACTTGAAAGATGCTAATTAAAACAACACTGAGATTCCATCTCACTACTATCAAGAAAAAGTGGCTATTGGCAAGAAATCAGCCAATATCAAATGCTGGCAGGGCTGTGGGAGAAAAGTAGCTCTTATGTCCTATTGGTGGGAATGTAGACTGGTATAGCTACTGTGGAAATCAATGCAGAAATTCTTCAAAACCTAGGTCTAAAGGTTCCATTTATCTCAGTTGTTCCTCTTCTTGGTCTCTTCCCAAAAGAATTAAAAGAATCACCACAGTGATATAAGCACGCCCATGTCTATAGTAGCAATTGGTAATAGTTAAATCTTGGAAACAACTCAAATGCCCATCAATTGATGAATGGATACAGAAGGTATGGATTATTTTATATACAATGGAGTGCTAATCAGCCACAAAAAAGGGTATGCTTGAGACATTTCCAGGTAAATGTATGAACAATGAGACTATAGTCCTAAGTGAAATTAATCAGATATACGTGCTCAAATATTGCATGGTTTAGAAATTGGAAGTGCATATTTATACTTGGATTGAAATGTGTATTAGATATTGTGAAATAGGAAGAAAATATTCAATTGACAAGGGGACCTAGGGAGAGGATTGGGAATAAAAAAAATGGGAGAATAGAAGCAAAAATGAAAACAAAACTTTTTGAAAATAAGGAATAGACTAGCAGTTGAAGGGAAGAGAGGGAAAGGGGAAAAAGAATCAAATTATATCATATACAGACACAAATTCCATATGGTGAATGTTAGCATTATGCATATCTAAAATGCACCAATAAAATTAATTAAAAAAAGAAATAGAATAATTTCTGGCTGGACTAGTGGCTCAGAGCATTTGCCTGCACAAACACTTGGGTTCACTCTAAAGCACTGGGGAGGGAGGAGATAGGAGACAGTAAATAATTCCTCAAAATCATCACTAAGAGGAGGAAAACCAGTGCTTCAAACCTGGTACATTTGCCTCTGCTTTTATCCGGTTCACATGGTTGCAAGAGATCTTGCTGAAGTACAAGAGAAATTTACTGACATGATACACACTGAAAAATTAACTAAGTCTCTGGGAAAATGAGAAACACATGTCATTGGCAGGATGAGCTTCTTCCAGGTGAGAAGCACAAGCCTGCTCAGTCTCCCCAAAGCTCTAGGAACCTCACCAGTAAAAAAATACCATGGATCATAATTCTGCTATCCAATCAGGTAAAAGTTCTTTTCCTGGTTGTTAGTTCTCAATCCCCAGACAAAGCATGATGAGCACTGCCCATTCCCTCTCTCTAAAGGTGGCCTGTGGGTCATTCTACATCCCTTCGGCCAGACACTGAGCCTGACCTAGTCAGCCTGTGCCTAGTAATCACTAGTTCCCCTGCCTTGGAAATGATGACCCAATATTCAGGACTTGGCTCACTCTCTAATTTCGCCACTTAACAAGAGTTCAAAACACTGTGATACACACACATACACCACGGGCATGCGCACATACACGTACACACACACACCATGTACACATGCTGCCTTAAGTCACACCTTTATCATGTAACTTTGTACTTAACATCTTTGTAGCTCTTAGTACTAACTGAACCTTTTCTACTGGCTATTTTTCCCCATGAGTGGAACATAAACTATGTAAAAGGAGAAATCTCCTGTCTTGCTCTTCTTGGTTTCAGCATCACAAGGGCGTTTAATAAAATTGTGATAAATATGGAAGTAGCCAGCTAGACCAAACATAAGGAGGAGTAGCTGATATGGGCATAAAAACGACAAACTCCAAAAATTAAAAAAAAGAAGCGCTGTTATTAAGCTGAGCTCAGCGGTGGCACTGATCCCAAAAGGCTGTAAAGGGCTATAATGACATAAACTGCAAGGCGAGGGGTTCAGGTCACAGGATCAATTTGTCACCATAAAAGGTGATTCGGTTTAGTTTTACAGGAGTCAAGGGGGCAGAACAAGCAATTACAAGCAACAGGGAAGCGGGGAGGGGGAGTTACATAGGGGATATACTACAGAATTGCAATTTAATTGGCACTTACACAAGTTTGCAGGTAGAGGTCGTTGCTTCACTGGAACAGAATAAGTCATAAAGGCATACTGAGTAGTAAAAAGTACAGCACATCGTGGGTTTTAAGCTCACAACTGTACCCAGAGTTTCCTGCTCTTCACTGGTGTGGGTAGTGAGAATTCCTGACTTGTATATCCAGTCCAGCGTCATCCTTAATGGCAACAATCTTCTGTGCTTTGTATTTGGTGAATACAAAGCTTTTCATAGATGAAGAGGATGAGACTGGGAAAAGTGACTTGTTCAAGTTCACCCAGCAGGTGGCTGAGCTCAGGAGGTGAAAGGTCTCCTCTGCTCCCCAAGCCCTTGAGCATCATATTTCCTGACCCTTACACTCTCCACAATAAGGAAAAAGAAAAGACTAAGTTACCTAACTTTGCAATGACAGTATACAACAGTGCAGAACATAAATAATCATTATTTCCCTTCCCTGTGGGCCTAACTAGCGATCTCATTACCCTAGAAGCAGCACAGGTCAACTAAAGTTAATTAACAGGGGAGATCAAGTCCCACAGCAACAGATTTGCTCAGCACTGCGGAGAATTTCATCTGTCACCTCCTCAGTCCTCCTCAGGGGCTCCGTGGGCACAAGCAAGATCTCCGTGGAACTTCGCGCCAGGGCTGTGGCGCACACGCTCCAGAGTGGCGATCATTAAACGCCTTGGGAAAGCGCTGGGCACAGATTACACAATTTAAGGCCAGAGGGCCGCAAGCTGTCCACAGGATACCAAAGAGTGAGCCAGTTCTCCGAAAGCCCAGTCATTCTGGGCCCGCCCTTCTCCCATTGGCCTGTTGTCTATCCATCACAAGGCTCCGCCCCGCACACCGTATGCCCGCCCCTCGGCTCCACCAGTCCGCTCCCTCCCTCATCCTCGAGGGACCACCTATCCCGGGGTCTGACTTTCCTCCACCCTCTTCCCCAAGTCCTCAGTTCCGCCACCTGGCTCACCTTCCTCCTCCAGGGCAGGACCGCTGGACTGGGTCCAGTGGGGAGAGAGATTCTGGGACACCAGGCTTAATTGGAATCGCGCAGCTCTTCATCCTCAGCTCAGAGAGGCACGGAACACGAAGCCACGCCCCTATCTCTGCGCCTGCGCACTTGCAACGCGCAAGGACGGTAACCTCAAGTAAAAGGGGGCTTTATTCGCTCTGTGCTTCTGCCAAGATTGATTTTCTGGGAACAAAATTATAGAGCTGCCTTGATCTTAACAAACCATGATCTGGTCTCTGATCACTGTGCTCCTGGGACTCTCCGGGTAGTGCGAGGGTGTCTGATATATCCTCTGCCTCCGCCAAACGTAGGAGGCTGATTAAGCAGTCCTTTTACTTTATAAAGTTACTAACAAAGAACCAAGTTTGATTTTACTATGTGTTCACCCAATTGTCTGGGAGTGGTTACTTGAATGGTTGTTCTAAAAGCTAAAAATTTGGTGCTTTGCCTCAAATCCTTCCCTGTTTCTCTCCTGTCTCTGGCCCCAGGTCTGATACTCTGTGTTGGTGACTGGGGAAAGGCCTGGCTGGCCGCCTGTCTTAGCTTCACTTTCTTTTCCTGAAGTGCTCCTGATGCTTAGTGTCTATCATGACTTTTGCAAACTTTGCCTTGCTTAAAAAGAAATTTTATTATGATATTTAGTATGGTTAACTGATAGATTTCTGTTGCAGTAGGCATATGTATTCATTCTTGTTTTCATCTTAAGAAAAGAAAATAGACTCTCCTAAGGAATGTATGGGTCACAATCGGTTAACTGGGCAAAGGTGGATTTCAACCATCGTGATAAAACAGCGTTTATGTTTTGCTACAGGACTGTGTCAGCCTGAATGGAAATACTATTTCAGTCACTGAAAGTGACACACTGCCTCAGTGAATTGGTGATAGTAGAAGAACCTGACTCACTTCTACAGCTGGAGGGGCTGTGTACTCCGGCCAACAGCAGACTGACCTTCTGCCTAGTCTCCTTTTCTCCTCCTTGCACCCCAATGGACTGGGGCAGTTTGCAGCAGTATCCTTCTTGGCTATCAAGCCCCATCCTCTACTATAACAGGAGGGCAGCCAGAGAGCCTGCTGCCCCTTCTCCACTGATTTATACATAAACTGTGCGTAAAACAAACACTAGACGTATAGATACATGATTCATGTTAGCAAAGGATTAGTGAACAAGGGTACACAGGAATATTCATACAAATATACATGGAAATATCACTACTACACAATAACACATTCACACCTGAGTTGAAATATGAATTTAAAACCTTGCCATCTTAAACTAAAGAATATTTCTTGTAACATATGATGAGTAATTTCTAGAATACTAAAAGACTAATATGAGAGAAATTCTTAAATGCTTAAGGGGATTGAAGAATTGAATCTATAACTAAAATTGTGTTAAAATTCCTAACAGTGTTGAAAAATTCAAGGAGAAAAAAATGAAAGGGGATAACATAATCAAAATTTAACACAGATAACAAGATTGGTTGTAGAATCCATGGGACAAAAATCTAGAATAAAATTCCAATTGAAAGATGTAATAGTTACAAGTGTAAGATTGTTAAAAAACTAATAGTCCTTTATTATATTAAATCCCAAACTATCAAATGTAAGACTGAAAAAGAATGCAGAATTGCCTCAGACACTAGATATATCTTAGTAAAAGAGTGTATTTTCAATTTAAGAAAGCTTTTTTTCTTTCAGAATGTGTTTTACTTTGAACCCAGGGAAAATATTTCCCTGTGGTCTTAACAAAATAATGTAGCACTTGGGGGCAAAGATGCAGCCCAGAAGCCCTGCACCAGAAGCCAAGATGGAGAAGACCTCCATGGCCACTATCACTTTCCCCTTGCTGCTGTGGTACACAGGGAGGAATGTGACCCACACAGCAGAACACCAGCATGCTGAATGTCAGGAACTTGGCTTCATTGAATGTGTCAGGCAGGTTTCTGCCCAGGAAAACCACAGTGAAGCTGACCAGGGCCAAGGAGCCCAGGTATCCCAGGGCACAGTAGAAGGCAGTAAGGGAGCCCTTGTTGCAGATGTTGATGATGTGGCCATGCTCAATGTGTGTGTCTGTGTCAATGTAGGGTGGGTTTGTCCCCATCCAGACTCCACAGAGAGTGATTTGGATCAGAGGGAAAATGGGGATGATGTAGTTTGGTGCCCCTGATACCAGCAACTGCCTCATCCTTCTACCTTGAACAGTCACCTTAAAGGCCAGCACCAAAGTAATGGTTTTGGCCAACAGCCACAGTGAAGACAACTGCAAATGTGGTCTGCTGGAGGATGCATGTGGCTGTGTTGGGACAGCCAATGAAGAGCAAGGCACAGAGGAAACAAAAGGTGAGGGAGATGAGCAGGGTGTAGCTGAGAGTCCTGTTGCTGGCCTTGACAATGGGAGTGTCTCTGTGTTTCACAAAGAGCCCAAGGACAGCAGCCGTGAGGACAGTTAGACTGAGGGCAGTGCCAACCAGAGCTTTTCCCAAAAGATCTTCGTAACCAAAAAAAAAAAAAAAAAAAAAAAAAAAAAAAAAAAAAGATCTTCGTAACCCAGAAAAGTCACAGCTTTTTACAGGCAGTGGTTTTTCTGAATGTTGGAATATTTATGGTTAGAACACTTCACACTCTGCTCCATATCTACTAAAAATGAAAACAGTCATTTGCCTAAGCATATTATTTGCCTTTTTCCCCAATAAGATCATCCCTAGAACTTACAAGACTTCAATTAAATTGTCAACTTTTAAATTTTTTTCTTTGGGATTGAACTCAAAAACTTTGCCCTGAGTTATATTCCTAATCCTTTTTAATTTTATTATTTTGAGAAAGGATCTCTTTAATTCACTCTGTTGCCAATTCTGTCTTCCCACAGAAAATCCTCTTGCCTCAGTTAGCCAGAGCCATAGATTCCAGGCATGCATCATCACACCTCACTTTTGCCTTTGTTTCTACACACAGAATAAAATAACAGGATATAGAGAGTAACTCTTTTTTTTTTTTTTTTTTTTTTTTGTCTTTTTCATTTTTATTGGTACCGGGGATCGAACTCACGACTGCCTGCCTGCAAGGTAGGTGCTTATGCCGCTGAGGTAAATCCCCAGCCCCTAGAGAGTAACTCTTATGTAATACTGCTTGTTATTTTTCTTTTAAATTCTGGCATATGCATGAAAACTTTCTATTTTTGCAAAGTAATAAATGATGTGCCTTTATTACTTCTCTTACTTTACTTATTTCATCTGTATCAAAACTTCATAAATTATTTCCCAGATATTCAGTGAACAATCTCATATTAGGAAGCCAACATGGTTGCTAAGTTCCTGGGAAATACTTAAGAAGAAACCCTGAAAGAGAAATTGTTCCATTATTGAGCCTCTCCATCTATGAACGTGCTTTCTGCAGCTACCGATTTAATTTTTATTGTCAAAGGATTATTTCAATAATTTAACTTTGGTGTCTTTCAAAAACATTACAGGATATATCACTATATATTTAATGATTTTTAAATGTTATAAAAATCAATTTTCAAAATTTTTTATAAGCACCTTATGACTGAGGTATGGAAAAAGGTTTCATTTTTTGAGATAATCTTGTATTCCATAAATAAGAAATTCAATATCATTTTATTTATTTACATGAATTTCATACTTAAAACTGTTGTCACTGGAAAATTTTTTCATGTGTTTTCTTTATTGCATTGCCTATGGTGTAGAGTGTGGCATTAGTATGATAGCAAAAGTTGTTATCTCATTGTTTCTTTCGAAAATGAAGCACAAACTGTAAAGTGTGCTATAGGATAACATAAACATCAATATTGGGAGGCCAGTTACAGACATTCTCCTATAGCTTATTTGGTAATAAATAATCTTGTAGTTTTTAAATCACAGTGATGTCCACTTTGTTATAGTATCACCATTTAGTAGCATCATTTTTATTTTATAAGGAGCTAGTGCATTTAACCATGTTTTATAAACTGAGTTTGCTCATGGTATGCCATTCCTAAAATATATACCTCAATTTGGAATAGGACATGTGAATTTAGTTTAAAAAGGAAGGTAGACCGTGAACTTTGTTCCTTCTAATTGTGCTTTCAGCTATGAGAAACACAACTTACGTCCTGAAAAAATGACTTGATTTTCCTCTTTTCCTCTGCTGTAAAAGAATGAGGTTAACATTAATATGATTTCGAGGGGCTGGGGATTTAGCTCAGTGGCATAAGAACCTGCCTTGCAAGCAGGCGGTTGTGAGTTCGATCCCCGGTACCAATAAAAAAAAAATGAAATAAGTATGATTTTGAATGTTCATGCATTTCACTGCTAATATTATTAACCAACAAATATTTGGAGTGAAATGTTATACTATATGCTCCTATATGTTATGAGACACGGTAATATGGAGATACTACTGCTATAGAGATTTAATTTTTTTCTTAGTACTGTTTTGCTGCTTTCCTGTGATTTTATAGCTTTCAAGGAATAGGGTGATTTGAATTTACTTTTATTTTCATAACAATTTTTCCATATAACAGTATTAATTGAGAAAATTCTCTTATGTGAGCTTTAAATTTTTCTCTTTTTTTCATGAGTAGTACTCAGAGTTGTCACTTTTTGTTACCAGAATCACATTTAACTCTGCTCATTTTCTCTCTGTCTTAATTTTTTAAATATTACTTTCAGATTGTATCCCAACTTTCACTTCTTCATGTTTAATTTATTCTTTTTTCTAGTGTGTAATAAATATTTCTTTTTCTTAATTGGAGGTTTGTGTTTTTTTGTACCAGAGATTGAACTCCTGACCTCGTACTTGCCTGGCAGACACTTAGGCTGCTAAGCTAAATCCCCAGCCTGTAATTAATATTTCAAATGCAGAACTTCACCTTTTTGTATGTAAATAAAGAACAACACAAAAGTATATGTAATATAGAATGAACATTTACCTCTGTGTAGTTTTGGCTTCAATTATCAGGATTTTCAGTTGCACATGATTTTTAATTTGTGCTTTGATATATTCTATACTCTATACATGATTGAGAATTTTCATACCAGAAGCAAGTATTAACTGATATTAGTGCTAAATATATCCGAAAATCAAAACTTGTATCAGCCACAAGAACAAATTAGAAAATATTCAGTGGGAATATGATTCCACTATGTTATGAATTATACAAAATTTAAATATTTCCACAGTGGTACTTATGATATGGGATAGTTTTTAACACTGGATTATTATAGATTTTAGAGTATGTTTCAGTCCTCATCCCCATTGTATCTTTTAATAACATGGTATTTGACTATTCCATCAATGGTAAATATGTCATTTTTGCCATTCTTAATACTAAATACTAAAGCATTTATGCCACCTGTTTTTATTAATATAAAACTAAAGCTATGATCTCTCTGAAACTTCCTCTTGACATCTTCCCAAAATGTATATAATGTTTTAAATCCCTTATTCTTTGTGCATTTCATCCTTGCATTTCTGTAGTAAAAACTTTAATTTATGCTATCGTCTGTCTCACCATTCAGCTATGCATTCTAGCAGAATGAGGATTAAATCTTAAGAATTAAGTTGCTTTGTAAGTATTTTATATATCAAAGACATCCCCCTATTTCCAAAACAAATCACTCTCTGTGATCTCTTATTTTGTATGACAAATAGCATCAGTCACAGGAAAATGAAGTTATGTCTTGACTGTAATCTTGCTGTGAATACTAAGGTTGTAAGGAGTTGGCTTTAATCATGCTCTATGTTAAGCTTCATGTTGCAGATGAAACTTAGATGCTGTAGGGGAAAGCGCTTGTCTTCAGAAAAGAATGCTTTTAATGGGACCAGAAAAGTAATTCAGTGTCAGTAGGTGTGGCAGTACATAAGTGCTATTCCAGAGAATTAGTGGGCTGAGACATGGTTCTTGAATTTTTGAGGGAGTCTGAGGAAATTAGTGATATTCTGTCCTAAAATAACAATAAAAGAAGCTGGGAACATAGATCATTGATAGAATACATTTTTTTTTTTTTTTTGGCTTTTTCCTTTTTACCGGTACCAGGGATCGAACTCACAACTGCCTGCTTGCAAGGCAGGTGCTTATGCCGCTGAGCTAAATCCCCAGCCCCTTAGAATACATTTTGAATTACTTCCTGCTATATAAAAAATAAGAAACAAAAAGGATTAATAAGGATGGAACAAAAGGAAAAATGAATTTGAGGGCATTTCAAAGGGGTAAATGTGATTTCCAACAGGCAATAGCACTGAGTATAACAAATAATTTAATAACTGAAACAGGTATTTTATCTTCAGTGTCCTCTGCAAGAATTTCCATTTCCTAGACTGGTAGAGTGAATATAGAGTCCATAGGACAAATGTGTCCACAGGACATCTCCTACCTGTGTCATTGGTGATCTCATTGTCTGCACAAGGGGTGCAATCAAAACAACAGGCAGCCTTTCCCTCCTGATGGCTTTTTCCCTAAATCCAGGATTGCAACTCTCACTGCATACTGAGCAAGGAGTCTATGGAAAAAAAATATCATGTTACTTGTTAACTTACACTTTTACTTATTCAGAATACAAGAATAAATTTTATTTGAATACATAATACAAATATTTAATTGCATGCTAAATTTATTTCATAGAATGAAACATATTTACAAAAATATGATTAAGGAAAAAATTTCTACTCAGAAGGTTTATAAACAATTTTTTTTCAAATTGAAAATTTAGTTATGCAATTTTCACATGTGAACATTTTATGAGCAGAATTGGTACCACAAAACCTATGACAGTTTTTATCTTACTCATGCTTAAGGAAGTGTGCCAAAATTAGATACAACATACCTCTGTAATTCCTGTGTTCCACTCTATCATACCCTCAGCAAAAGTCACTTTTTTACCCTGCGGATCATGTGATGAAAACATTTCTACTTTAACCTTAAGCGTAAAGCCTTCTGGAAAATTCCAAAAATTGAGAATGTCATACTGTGGATCCAGTTTCACTCTGTCATTCGAGTTCACTTGGTCTCCAGCAGGACTAGAAAATTGGATGATCTTCAGAAAGGGATATGGCTAAGAGAGACACATCATCCTATATGAACAGAGCTCAGGATAAAGACAGAAAATATACATGATGGAAAGTTCCTAAGTGCCATTAATCCCATTTACATAAAGCAATTTTAACATTGGTGTCTGTTGAATTGGAGCACGTGAATGGCTAAGGACTAAAATTTTGTCATATTCAAGGAATACCAGTCAGTTTCACAAAATAGGCACCATGCAAGAACATTTAAATAAGGTCTAAAGTTGGGTTAGGTAAAAACATCAACTATGCTATCCAATCTTCTAAAACTCACAAATTCCATTGTCTATCTGACTATTCCCATAGCACCTAGCAACAGGATGAGTTCATTAATACCTGAGGAGTTTGCAGGATTAAGTGACATGTAATTATGTGCAACATCAGGTGTAATACAATTTAGTTTATAAGTAGCTATAGGTTTTCCAGTTTTCCATAAGAGGATTATAGAACATATTTTCATGAGACTGTCATTGAAATCTTATAGACAAAAACAATGAGCTAGCCTCTTGTTTCTCCTAGCCAGTGGCTGCTTGATTGAGGATCATTTTTACTAAACTCAATGATTATTCTCTTAACAATAAGTGTGCTATACAATGTCATGTATTTTGTAGAAGTGGTTCTAATATTCTTGGGTGAAACATGTAGAAAAACTCGAGAGAGACACCTTGATGACACTGCACGCCATCCAAAGGAAGATACATTACCTTCCAGGGGGGAAACATTCTTTGTATGTTTCCCATTGGTGGCCTTTGTACTTCTTCAAAAAGCATTGCATGGAGGGCATGGGCCAAAGAATACACACCATTGTATAAATTGTAGCTCCTGTCACTCATGGCTGTGTCAAAATGATTTGCAACCAAATTACAGAGGCATTAAGTGAACAATTCTCCAATGCACAGTCTGACTCAGAGAATGAGCAATGGAAATTCTTATACCAATATGTAAACAGATAAGTGTCTTCCGAGTATTTGAAAGGGGTAGCTTCCTGTACAAAATTTCTGAAACCAGAAATCTCTTCATGGTGGTGTGAAAAAACAAGAACCCCATGGAATGGGTCAAGTATGAAGTTTCTCCTATCCAGGTCACCATGCCATTGTGAGTTTGTCATCCAGACTCTCCGTGTCACTAACTTTTGTACTATGTTGTAGTTCACATCATTTGGACTATCAGTATCATAGTAAATGACCACCACACTTACTGATGATGTATCTGCAGTCAGACTATCATATTTCTTCATGCCTGAGAGATATGACACAGCCACAGTTGGGACCATTTTTACAAAGGCCACACAGACTCTGTTTCTGTCCATCTCAGTTCTCACATCTGAGAGAAACTGAAGACCCTTGTGGCCTTCTGTGATGAGCAGGCCCACCCAGGTCCAGTGCAAATGGAGCATCAAGGACACCATGCCAAGGGCCAAATATGTGTCCCTTGGGACCATCTTATAGAATGAAGGATACTTGACACTTCATCAGTGTGGAATCAAATGAGCCAAAGTAACCTTAAAGGAACAGAAAACTGAGCAATACACTGAAATGTTGGTGGAAAGCACAGTAGAGAGACTGAAGTGTACTACAAGTTGTAGAAGGAGACACGTGTTCTTCCCATCTTTCTAAATATTTCTTTTGGGAGATATTTTAAAAAATGAATTACTCAGACATCCCACATTGTATTTCTTTCATGCCCCCCCTCCTCATTGATCCAAAAAAGAAAAATAAAAGAAGTTGAATGTAACCCACAAAGTTTCTGTGTGCAGACTTGTGGTTGTTTCAAAGATGCCAATAACCTCAGTCTTATGTTTAACAGTTTATACTCCTGGGAGTTGACACATTATGGATGTTTCTATCATTTCCTGTCCCACCAACCCTCACCTGTGGAAATCTGTAGAGTTCCAGCAGTGGTCCAATCTCACCTGAGGTACCCCATGGCATTTCTGTCAGTACTGCAGCACACTTTCTTTCTCTCCTACATGTGTAATTAGTGATATCATATTGTCCTGTCAGCAAAATGAAAGAATTCTCTAGTATCCTCCCATGACTATAAATGAAATTATGGAACTCATAGCCCAGAGAAATATTGGGTAAAAGCTAAGGATTCCTGTTGATCTCATCTATGGCAAAGGTGAAGGCCAGGTAGTTCTGGTGTTTCTGGGTATGAACCTGCATAGAGAGCACAGAGATCCTTAGGAAAAAGACTCAATGACTGTGTTCTTATCCAGTCATTACCATGTCCGACCTGAATGCTTGAGTTCTTTCCACACACTCATATAACTGAGAATTAAGTGTGGATGATGATATTAGAAGATTAACTTTTTAGAAAATAATTGAAATTAAATGACTCATATTTGTGAGATTCACATGAAGGAGCTTAGTGGCTTTATAGGATTCCCAAGTGACTTGCTTCATCATTTTGTTATATAAGCTATCCAGTTAACATGACCTTGCTATATATGTATATGTTCAAAATAAAATTTGTGTATTGAATTGCACTACATAAGGATTTAGAAAATGTTGTAATTTTAAATATCCTCACGAATTGCAAGGAGAAAAAATAATATTTTTGTTGAAGCACATATTATACTCAGTACTGATAAGCATCCATTTGGCTTTAAGTGCTTTATTTGAGGAAAAAAATTTCCTTAATATTATAATTGAAATGTATCCCAAACAAGATTGCTATCAACACTCATGCATGTGAGGAAATATGGGGGTGACAGATGCATTGACTTATTTGATTTAACTATTAGATAATATAAATATTTATAGGCATATTATACTACATTTATGAATATATATAATTGTATTTGATAACTACAGATAAAATTAAATGTATAACTGAAATTCTTTGAAGTTGAAACTTAGATATGGCTTAAAGAATAAAGCAGTGAATCACAGTGAAAATGGGGGATGATCAGAAACACAAAAGTCATCCTCCCTCCAGGGATTTGTGACACAGAAAACTGCTCTACCCTCCTCCTACTGAGAGATTTCTGTAAGCATACTATTGATAAAGTGCAAGCTTCTTTGAATATTGTGGAATAAAGCTTCTATATATCAAGAGCATTTTCACTGACAAAATTTCAGAACAATATTTCTTTGTTAACTTCAGAATCACTTAATGTTGCTATGGAGTTTATAATCAAAAGTATAAATATTTAGCAAGTTAGGAGGTGATAAAAAGTAGAAACAAGCATAAATTAGCATCTCATTGGGAATAATATTATTCACATAATAAACAAACGAAGTTTCTAGTACAGGGACCAAACAAAAATTAAGTAAATGAGAATAAAAGTAATTTCCAGTATAAAATTATAAGTAAAATCATCTGAGAAAAACATGTATAATACAGCAACAGCCTTCACAAAACTTATAATAAGACATTTTAAAGACCCAAAATTGTAGAAAAGAGATAAAAGCACTAAAAGGATCATTTCATAAATGTTAATATTAAAAAGTTCTATTAATGTTGCTAATACTCAAAAACATTGAGAGAAGTTTTATATAAATGACAAATATTACACAAGTGCTCTGTGTAATCTATAATATGTAATCTATAATAGGGAAACTGTTTCAAAACATAAAATCAAGTCGTTTAGGGAAAAACCAATTGAAGTTATAGCTACATCAATGGGACAGATTATGAAAAAGTAACCTTTTTATCTATCTTAATGTATCTATCTGATTACCATCTCCCCTTTTTATCATAAGATTTCTTTAGAAATTCCTTCATATTAAATTGTTATTCATAGCAAAAACTAAACTATTGTTAAAAGTGAAATTATTTATCGCAAAATAAATTTGTTACTAAATAATTTTCAAATTGTAAAAATAATACAATAAAAATATATTTTGAATATTATACTGAGATGCATTGAAAATAAGAAAAGAAAAAATCTAATCATAGCTATTTTTTTCAACCTAGAATCTCATATTCATTTCTGTTTAAGCATGATGTATGTAAAAATATTTGCAATAGACAAAATCCTAGTAAATCATTTTTAAACAGCTTGGTCAACAATGTTTTCCTCACCTTAAAATGCAAAACAATTTTTTTTTTTACAAAAGAAGGACTTTTCTAAAACAAAAAAATTGAGGAAGTGTAAATCATCAAGTAAAATATTCTAAAGACATTTAACTAAGGATATTCCTAGATATCAACAACTCAACAACGCAGGCCAGTTGTCCAATGTAACAGTGAAAGAAGGATATGTTACCTCACTGAGTGGTTGTTTGAAAATGCCCATTATTTTGTTACTGTTTGTGATTTGATAATAGGTGTACAGTAATTTAAAAACAGATAATTTTGAACACATCCATTTTGCTCTTCTATGTTCTTTAGCTTTAATCAAAGAACACTTCTTTATTACATATTGATTACTCTTTTTAAATGACAGGAAGAATTAAAGAAATCGTGGAACTTCTCAAAAACAGTTGAGAATTGAATTATGATGGGTTCAAAGGGTGTAAATTTTACAAGCATAATAAGTAGCATGAATTTATATACTGTTATGTAAAGAATATAAATTATTGCAAAATGGAGACATGATGCTACTGTATTTATATTTATGTGCAGAAAAGACAATGTATTATCAAGACTACAGGGACCACTTCATTTGCATATATAACAATATGGTTCTTTATATTATTTAAGTTAGATTCTTCAATATAAGGTTGATGGGAAATATATAAATAGTTTATGTAAATATTTTTATTTTCCAAGAGTTCTTTTCTTCTTTTCTTCTCGTGTTAGCAGGACTGAAAATTATGTCTTGAGTCCCTAAACTCTTGTTCCTTTTGGATGCATCAGCCTTGCCATAAAATCTCCCAACTGCAAATGTGTTCTTTTTAGCCATAGACAGAGCTCATGTTGCCTTGGTCCAGAACAGAGCTAACTACAAAAGCAATGTGACTCTCTGAGCATATGTGAAGACAATGGAAGAGTTGATGCCTCCTCCTCTACTCCTTGGAGTAGAAACACATCCCACATCATTAAACTATTCTTCCAATCTGACATTTGATATATGATCAGTTTCTCATTCCCTTCTATACTCGGAGGATGTCTAATCACACTGGGTTGTGTGACTAGAATCCTCTCAGGCAGATTTAGCTGGACTTGCTTATTTTCCCCCTCTATCTTTCTGATTAATACTAAATGCAGGTTATCCCATTCACTTTTCACAATCCACCTACCCAAACAAGCCACATTTCACAGGATTCTATACTGCGGGTTATGTTCAATCAAATAAAACCCTTCTTATAATTTTCAATAAGTGACATGAGTAATTTATCCTCTCACAGGGTTTGGGAGATTTTGTACAGAGTTCTCTAAGTCAAACATTTACAAATAGTTCTGATGTGTCACCAAAAAGAAACACTCATTAGCAGGAAGCAGAATCAAAGTTTGAATATTAAGCACATCTTTAAAAACACACATTTTAGAAAATGATGAAAGAAAAACACATGTTCAGTGTGTAATGACAAATGTCTGGAATGCCAGTTGTTCATGAAGCTTATGCAGAGAAAATTCTTGAGCCCAGGAGTTTGCTGGAAGCATACTCAGAACAGTAAGTCCCTGTCTTAAATTTTATATAAATATGGGGCATATGTATGTTTATAAAAACATAAGCAAACATCTAGACATTAAAGAAGTATGAGAAAGGTAGAGACCCCATCTACAGAAGGAAAGGTGCTAATTCAGTAATATGCCATCCCTGCTTCCAAGTAGAGGGTTGCCTTAAATAGACCAAGGCCACAGATTGCTAAGATTGGGGTCTGAATTCACACCTACCAAAATATTATACTGCAGAATTGTGTTTTACATATACAGTGGTATTTTTAAAGAGGCTTTTGGAATATTATCCAGATAATGTTTTGGTTTGACAAGATCTCATATTTGTATTGATCATATAGATATGGAACTTTAGAATTGGAAAGATGTTATATATTATAGAGTTCAACTTGCTCATTTTACTATTTCATTTCTTTCATTTTACTTAACCCAGTTTGGAAATGATAACCTATTAGTTGATTTATAGTCTGAAGCAAAACAAAATCTATAAGGTGTAAGACTGCTTAAATTACTAACTTTTTTTGATATTCAAATACAAGTGGCAACTTAATTTGTTTTCTTGTAGGTGGTAGTTTTCTTCATACTGTTCTTTTATGTGACAAATTTGACTTCAGTACTGCTTTAGTGGTTTGTCTTCTTAATACTGCTTTGAATTGGATGAATGAATTTGAGAAATGGCAAGAAGGATTAAGAGATGATGAGAAACTTTAGGTATAATGTTTTAAATATTTTATATTATAAAATAGTTGCATGAAATTCATATAGTAAAACAAATTAATTATTAATGATGTGTATTTCAATAGGACTATTTAGTATTCATACTTTTTAATAAAAACTTTTAAAAATTCTTATTTTCCCATAAAGGTTCTCTGAATTAGCAACTATGAAATGTCCTCAGGAGAGAAGTTACATGCTGCAGAGGTGGCAAGAAGATGGTGGTGTTATGATATAGAGTATGAGATGTACAGAATCTTGTTCAATGAAGAAATGTAAAGAGTCAAAAACTTTTAAAAAATTTTAATAAAGCTTTAGTTAATCCAGGTAAGTTTTTAACAAATACCGATTAGTGAAACAAGTTGAAAAATGTGTTTATATTTTCTGTAACAAATATTAATTAAGCAGCTACTAAATACTGATTTTTGATCCATTTGTACTTAAGATTTATGTCTTTTGATTCTTAATATTGGTTATTTTTTCATAGAGATAAAATGCTCTTTCATGTTGCTTGTTTTTCAAAATTTAATTATTAAGTCTGGAGTGTTAAGAATTTTCAGAGTCTCAGACAAAAGTGCATCAGCTACTTAATGTCACTAATGTTCTTAAAGCTGTGTAAACATTAGATGATTGTGAATTCTCTGCATACTCTGAAAACATTTACACCTCTTTCCAGAATTCATGTTATCAAAAGAATTGCTGTTAGCTTATTTCTTTTAAAGGGTAATCAATTTGAAAAGGTAATATTTCCAATACTTTCAATCCTTGAGAAATGGTAATCTGATATGAGAGCTAACTATTTGAGCTTTGTTTGCTTTGTGAGACAGGGTGTCATTGTGTAGTTCAGGTGGGCCTCAAATTTCAGCAGTCTTCTTGCTGCAGCCTTCTGAGCTTTGGGATTATAGGTGTGCACCACTGTGTCTGGCTTGATTGTTTTTGTGTCCTTAGAAAAGTAACAAGTTTTATTATATGCAAAGTGAGAACCAAGTTTTTAATCTTAAATTTTAAATTATGTGCATAATTTATTCCCTATCTTCAATGTTATTGTGCCATATTTTATTATTTCAAGATTCTATAGTCTTTATGTTTGTAAAGAAAGTTTGGGTAATTGTCATTGGTGAAACTAACAGCACTCTCAGCAGGGTTTTTGTAATCCAAGCTCTCAGGAAGTTCTGAAGCATGTGTTGAGACCCTGTCTCAACACCCTCCCTCACAACAACAACAACAGAATGAATAGTTTTAGAATTCAGTGGTTTGCTTGCTTTTGGATAATGCTATAATTACAGTGGTACCTTGTTTCACAAACTAAATTCTCTTCATGATTCTGGTTGCAAACTGAATTGCATGAGAACCAAATCAAATTCAGTGGTTAGGTTCAATGTTGACCTCATGGAGAAATTGATCATTTCTTGCCCAGTTTGTTTTTGTGACCAGAATTGTGAAGTGAATTGAGTTCATGAACCAAAACACCATTGTAATTGTGTGAAAGTAACTTTGCAATTGTAAATTTAAGGCTTATTAATAAATTTATCATTTTTCCTATAATCAAAGTGGATGTCTAAAAATTCTATGGTTGATTTATGGTTGGAGGACTCATATGAATGATCATTATAGTAGATTTAACAGCAGTTTAAAATAGCCATTTCAGGTATTTAAGGTACTTTTGTCTATGAGGAAATGAGTAATAAATTATAACTCCTTACATGGAAGGTAGTATTTGTCATTTCCATAGTTGTCATTTAGTGACATTCAGAAATCTTTATTTTGTAATAATTTATTTCTTTTCAGGAAAGTTGAAGTGATAGCATAGATAGTTCCCATAAAACAAGTCTATGGTTAGTATCTTACATTGCCATGATTGATTTTTCAAAGCTAGGAAATTGGCTCATTGTCAGAACATCATCATTAACTAATTGCAAAACAGTTTTTCCATCCAGAGTACCATATTGCACTTAGCTCTCTTTATTGTCTTCTGGTCATCTGTATGATGACCTTTTGAGGCAAATTTTTAGTCTTTGTTTGTTACTTTTAACAGTTTGAAGAACTACTTGTCCAGGTATTCTAGAGTGTTTCCTAATCTGAGTTTTTTTTTTCTTATGCTTAAACTCAGGTTATAAATTTTTAAGTGAATATATCAAAATTTGTGAAGTATCCTGTTTGTTATCATTTTAAGAGATACATGATACTGATATGACATTAAAGGTGATATTATTCTGTCATTGGTTTGTATCATTCTGAACTAATTTTTGTGTGTGTTTTTTTTTTTTTTTTTGCTGTTCAGTTTTACTTTGGCCTTTGCAAATTTTCTTAAGTTAATTTCTGTATCTCTTTGATATGCCCCTCATCCTTTTTGTTCTTAAGCAGTTTATTTCTTTCTGATACTATAAGACCCTGTAGGTCTATGTTATATCACCCTCATGTTCAGAATCTAACATTTCACCCAAGGCACTACGAATTCTTTTTTTGAGACGTGTTATTTCTAAGATATAGACACTGTGTGGGTTTGTTGCTATAAGTGTCATTTCTTGTAGGACTTCTCAATGGACAGAACTAGATGATGATGTATGCATGTTTTCTAATTCATGTATCCATATGTATGTATATATGTTACAAGTATCCATAATGTTACCCTCATCTTTAATGTGGCACCCAAGTTTATTTTTATTCTCCTTTTTAGTTAATCACTATCTTGCCTTTCTAACAGTGAATATGTTAGTTATCACCATTTACTGTCTTTAGCTTTCTTTGTTTAGCCTCCTATATGTAAGGCAGTTTTAGAATTATCAATCTATAGTACTGCAACAAATAGACAATGTTTATGATAACTTTTGCCTGTGCTTTTGTAATTTCCACTTAAGAAGCATTTTACAAAGTTACATAATTCAATTCCTTCTGTTAATTGTGTACCTATTTCAAAATTTATTCTTTTTATTTTGGTGCTGGGAATCACACTCACAATCTCATACTCACCAGGCAAGTGCTTCAGCCCCTGAGCTAAATCCCTGGCCCTCAAAGTTTATTCTTTGTAAATAAAAGTTTGTTGCTTTTTGATGAATGCAGGAAGATATCAATTTATAACCATTTTTAAATAGTTTTTTTTTTTGGTTCTGAAAACAACTGTGTAATTAATTGCTTACTGAATCTTTCTAAGCATTTATTCTTTATTATGCTAATCTGAATATTAACCTGCATTTTCCTGCATACAGTGTAATTATTTGAATTGTTCTATTGTGGAAAAATATATATAACACAAAATTAACCATGTGAGTAAAGCATTCAATTCAGTGGCAGTTCGTATATTCACAGTACTGGTAAGCATCGCAACTATTCTATTGAGTTCCAATATATTTTTATCACCTTGAAAAGAAACCCTTTACCTGTTAGTAATTACTCCTTTATGTCTTTCCCCCCATTCTCTGGTAAGCACTAATCTGCTTTCTATGTCTAAAAACAGAGTCCTGCATATTTGTCTTCTTTCACTTAGCTTGATGTTTTCAGCATTGAACTATGTTGTAGAATGTATCAGAATATCTCATCACTTTGCACTGCAGATAATATTTCTTTGTATGTGTAGTATATCAGTTTGGTTTTCAGTGGAGTAACAGATTTAATATAAAATATATGATGTGTATAGTAAGGTAAGCTTACAGTGGCCACCTGAAGTATCAGCTGTGGAAAAATGCAAAAGCACCACCTATGCTGGAGAGTTAGAGGATCCAGCTGAAAGTTGATAGCCTACAGCTCACTGCAAAGACCTATATGAGGACATATCAGGAAGCCAAAGGGACCAGACACAAACCCTGTATAGATAGACATTCAAAGGCCTGATACAGGAGCAATATTTCTTTCTTCTTTCCCTTTTTATTAGATCTATTACATCCTGGCTCTAAGCCTCAAGTTGGGTTAGGATTAGGGTTTGGGTTAGGGTTATGGTTAGGGTTAGGGGGTTAGGCTTGGGGGTTAGGGTTGAGGGTTAGGTTTAGGGGGTTACAGTTAGGGTTAGAGGGTTAAGGGTAGGGTAAAGGTTAGGGTTAGTGTTAGGGTTACGTATAGAAGGGTTAGGATTTGGGTTAGGGTTAGGGTTAGGGTTAGGGTTTAAGCAAAGTGTTAGGGTTAGAATTTTAGGCATCAGTGTTACATTTCAGTGATCTGAGCGAGCGTCTGTGTTGCGGAGAGAATGGATGGGTTATGTCTCACTCTAAAAACACACATATGGTTCCCCATGTTCGCCCTACAGGCACATATGTGACCCATTCCCCTACTTCCCAGCAAAACACAACAAACTCTGTTTCATACAGTCACCCTGGAAACCCCCACGCATGCCCTGTTCCCCGCTTTCAACACTAAAACACACACAAGCCACTTTTCCCATGATCACCCTAACAATACACACATGCCCTGTTCCTCAGGCTTACCCTCAGATCACTCATAGGTCCTATTCTCCAACTTCACACTAAAACACACAAATGCCCGGTATCCCATGCTCACCCTAAAAACACACATGTCCTTTTTCCAGGCTCACTCTTAGAATACACCCAAGGCATGTTTCCCACACTCACCCTAACATCACACACATGCCCTGTTCCCCAACCTCACAATAAAACACATACACACATGTCCCTCTCACTAGCCCAACCCTAATAGACCCTAACAGACACACACAAAAATTCCTTATTCCTTACCATAACAAACATATGCCGCCTCAAATATCAATGATCTTTCCTGATGGGATGCCTGTCTCTCTCCTTCTCGTGATTCTGGGCTCATAAGCTTTGTGAAACATGGAAGATCACTCAGCTAGGAAGGGAAAGAGGGAGGGAGGGATTGATTGTGTAAGTCCCATGAGAAAAGCAGAATGAGGAGCTGGGGATTTAGCTCAGCAGCATAAGTACCTGCCTTGCAAGCAGGCGGTCGTGAGTTCGATCCCCGGTATCGATAAAAATGAAAAAGACAAAAAAAAAAAAAAAAAGCAGAATGAGCCTTAATCACATAGCAGCGAAAAATCAAGCCACTTGCTCCACCAACGAAGTGGGAGACAGATGAGTGGGTGTCTGTCTGTCTTTCTGCCGAACCCAAAATCAGTGTCAGACTCTAGTTAGAACTTTCCCAGTGAGACACCTATCCTTTTGGTGGTTTGCTGTCTGTTCAAAGTCTTTGTAATTTTTTTTCCTTTCCTGGCTCGAGCCCAGCCTCTCTGTGCACCTTTGAAGCAAGGATCCAGGAGAATGGTGGTCACTCAGCTCAGCTCAGCTCAGCTCAGCTCAGCTCAGCTCAGCTCAGCTCACTGGAATGTGAATGCATCCATCTGGATGTTCGGGTTCCTCTCTGTGTCTGTTATTCATGAACCCATTTCAGTCCCTTTGCCTCTTTTGTGCTCTCTGGCCCATATTGTAGCTTGGCATAACTGACACTGTCTATCTTGTGCCTGGCATTTCATTTTACTAGTACCCTGTCTTTGACCAGGTAAATGGAAGATTACTCAGGGTACAAGTTCTATGAGCAAAGCAGAACGAGATGTAGTATGTATAAATGTGAAAATGGCTCACCCAAAGAAGCATGTTGAAGCCAAAGGTGCAACGGAGACCCCAAAAGCTTTAGAAAGCCAAACACATAGATGTTCCAAGAAAGGAAAGCTACAACCGGTGAGCGGAGAGGCTGTCAGTGAAAAGCTGCCAAGGGAGGTGAAATCCCTGGAAGTGCCTGCCATGGGGGTGGAAACACCCAAGCCTGTCAGAGCTTACCACGAGAGAGGTTGCTTCAATTTGCAGAGCATAAAACTCTAAGACTTAATATTCACCCTGCTGGATGTTAGACTGGCTTTGTTCCGGATGCTTTGTATTTCCCCCGTTTATTTATAACTTTTCGAATGGTCACGTTTATCTCATGCCTTTGCATTTCCAAAACGTTTAACCTTGCTTCACCTATACAGGGGTTTACCGTGATTTTGCCATAGACATGGTAGAGTTGGAGGAGTGGCCAATGCAGAGGCTTAGGGTTAGCAGAAGGTGATGATTAGTGAGCCACTGGCTTAGGGAAGCCCCTCTCCCCATCTGACATCCAAGCCACCCTTCCCACTCTCCTCCTGGGGGTAGGGGTTGGGCGGGGAAGGTGTGATGGACAGCCTGGCCAGTCACAGTTAGCCCCTTTGGTCTATCTGCATTGGCTTTGGAAGCTGGCAGTTTCCCTGTCAGCGCTCTGAGGCCACCACTTATTCCATCTTTTGGCCACCAGAGGGCACAGCTCGCAAACCCAGCCACAGTGGAAGATTCAGAAGTCTGCCTAGATGGTGTGACAGAGGCAGAGAAAGACACCACAGACATGTACTGCACGTGACACATTCGTTCTGGGGTGGACCTGTCCCGTGTTGGAGAGAGGGACAGAGCAAGGAGGAAGCTAGGGAAGGTGCTCTGAACACCAGCTTCTCTGGAGACCGATCATCATCTTCCCAGGATTGCCTATGGCCTTGCATCCGAGGCCAATAATGCTTCCCTGCCTCTCTCTTCAGCTGTAAGAGGCTGGAGCTAGCTGCCCAGAACGCCATCTACCCCAAGGATCACAACACCATGTTTCCTCTGTTGCCCATGGCTCGTGATGTCTTGTGTTGCCATATGCAATAACGAGTTCCATGACGCGCTAACTACTGCCCTGCAAACAGGAGAGAGCCTTGAATTCCCGGCAGCCCTGGCTCAACATGCCTGGTTATACAGCACAGCACAGCACAGCACAGCACAGCCCTCTCCTCCCTCCACTGCAGAGGTCACCTTCCCTAGCTATTGTTGTGTTCCCTTGCAGTTGGCAGGCAGGGAGGGTCTTTTTGGGGTTGTCACATAACCTGGATCCAGGCAATGCTTCTGGGGACCGATGTGCGAGTCCCCTCTAGCCACCATGGGGCGCTGTCTCATCCGAGCAGAAGCATGGCAGGCAGGAAAGCTGATGGCAAGGTAGTTAGGGCTATATCTGTTTCTTTTGCAGCCGACCACCTGGCGTGGCAGTCAGTGCAAACCAGGAGCATCTGTTGGCCCAGATTGAGGAGTGTATACTTTGTGTGTGTAGGGCTTTCCACGTGGGGTCGAGGCTTCAGGGTTGGAGTCTGGAGGCCACTAGGCTCACTACCAACCTCTGTGGCTGCTGCTGGACACCGGTATTCTCTGAGGTGGTGCCAGTAACCTGGTTTCGATGGATATATATATATATCCTGCCTGTTTCTAGGGTGCACATG